CCTGGACTTCCCTGGTCTGCTTTGCTTGTCTGGTTGTGAATCAGAGTGAGGCTGGAACAGGGAAGATCTTGGGTCTGTCTGTCTTGCTCTTTCAACAAACTGCCATACAATTTAATCATTATCAGTACACCTATGAGAATCCATAGTTGTTGTCTGGACAATGCACAGTTCTGATAAATAAGACATTTCAATCTTAAACCTTTTGAATGAGCACATACTACAAACACATCATTTGTTTCAGAAATGGAAATATTTATGGTGGCTGATGATGCCTTCTAACAGTAAGGTAGGACGCTGATGTTCCACTCACTTAAGAAGCAAGTGTTCTCCTTCTGGTAGAAATGAACTAATTACTAGAAATACCCACATTCATACTTTGCTGAAAACACAAAACACTAAATAAATTCTGGGGTTAGGTACCAATAAGTGCCATGTAATTACAGTGAATGAAAAATGGGGGAAGAGTGCAGTTAGGATAAGGAGCAGAGCAATTGATTTATTGCCCTATAACATTTGGAGTATTACCTGTCTTCTAGACTTTCCAGTGGCTCGAAACCAGGTCTGTGACAAATTGATCCCACGGGTCATATGAGTTCATAGATGTGTTTTGTATGGTATGAATTTACTCTTTCAAACCTGGATGAAAAATGTAAAACTCATATCACACATTAAAATTCCAATTTATGGCTTTTTTTGAAAAATTGGAAAGACTGAGCCTACATTCTCAACTGGCAATAATCAGCTAACAATCAATGGAGACCTTTGAGGTATGCACTCTTATTGATGTTGCAGTTTTCATCACTCCCTCCATTAGGGACTTCTTTAAATCGCATTGTCCCTTATAATTTGATATGTTAAAATCTGTTCAAAGCCTCTGTAACTCTGATTTCTAGTTTAGTTGCCTATTTATTAAATAAGTCATTTTCAAATGTTATATATGAAATTAGGTTAAAAAAACATTCCCTAGGAATGCCTTGTTCACAAGGAATCAGCTCTGTTTCCAATATTATTGAAGGTGATTTGATTTTGCATTTAAAAGAAACATTACCATTTCCTACACTTAAATTCATTTTGCTCATTACATTATTAAAACAACAGTGCTAAAATAGTATAAAAGTACATAAATGTCCCTCTTAACGTTGTACATTTTTTATCATATGAGATTGGCATATCAACTGCCATTTAATCTAGATAAATGTTCATTTCCATGTGTTGAAATGTTTCTGATATTTGGCTTCTCAGTTCCTAAAATATTGATTTGCTGCCTCAAAAAATAAACCTTTTATTTTAAAAAAATTTAATTAACTCCATGTGTTGAAAAGTTGCTGGAAATTATATAAATATCTTTTCTTTTTCTGGTAACCTAAATCATTTCTACCCAAAAGCTTTGCATTATATGGTGGACCCCAACTTGGAGAGTTGACTACTGTATTCTAGTGCTGTTGTAGTAGTGGGGGTAGTTGTTACTGTTTCTAGATCAATCAAACAGATTCTCTTCTTCCTCTCTGTTTCATTATCCCAGTTTGAAACTATAGTATAAAATGACATCACAGTATTGAACTAGACAACTGATTATGATCACAAAGGGCAAGAACCAAGAAATCAAATGAGGGTACTGAAGAGGCAGCAAATAAGTGTAAAGGCTCTCTTTTTGGTAGGTATTTTTCGAATTTATTTATGGGCATGTTATGTCAATTTTTATTGCTTTATGATAACTCAATCTACATGTTAAATTTCTAAAGGAAAAGATGATATATTTTTATTCTTATATTCTTCCTAGGTACGTAATAGGAATTCCATAATGTTTACTGAATAGTAATTAAATATGAATTAATTCAAAGCTAAAAAAATAGATTGTATAGACATGTAAGTCCCTGAAAGGTGGGTAAATAAATGTGTAATTGTTTAATAGGTTCCCACTGATCTCAGAATGAACATGGGACTGGCCATCTCAGGACTGTGGGCTGCAACATCTACTCCAGCCTTCCTCTTCAGCCTTGTATCATCTGTCCCTTCACTTACTGGCTGCTGGATCCACTCATGACCTTTAACACACCACACTACTTTCCACCTTGCAGTCCTTTGCACTTATTTCTTTTGTCTGGAAAAGTATTTCCACAGCACTTTGCACGTATGGCTCTTTCTCATTCTCCAGGTCTCAGCTTGCCTATTACCCCCTTAGAGAGCTTTTCCTTCATCACTTCACCCTATATATAGTGAGATTATCCAGTTCCTCCCCAATTTATCACTTCACAATTTTTTCCTAGTATTAATATAGCCAGTAGTTGTGTTTCTCACTTGATTATTTTCTAGCTTATTGTCAGTCTTTTACATATGAGGCTGCAAAAGCCATAAAGAGTAATTTTGTCTTATTCATCTCTGAATTTGCAGAGCCTACCACACTACCACTGAATTAATAAAATAGTAAAGGGTGAATGAATAATAAAATCATAAAACAGGCAATACATATTGCCTCTTAATGCCAGAGTTTATTGTATTCTGAGGAGTGTGTGTGTGTGTGTGTGTGTGTGTGTGTGTGTGTGTGTTCTAATCCTAAGAAAAGAAGTAGTTACTTTTGGAAAATGTTTTTATTTTCCCTCAGTTGTTTTCCTATAAAGCATAAGGTTGGGTGATTTGGTAAATGGCTCATTGCTATTATGCGTTTAGATATGCTATACGGTCTTTTAAATACACATGCTTCACATAACCCATTACCAGAATTTTAACAAAGCAAAGTCACAATCAGAAGGGACATAGAAAAAAGACAATAACAAATACTACACCTCATCCACGATTGTCTTTTAATGTCATCCATTAAAAAGGATTTTAGAAAGCTCACTTGGAATTGAAATGTGGAAACACATTTGGAATCCTTAGCAGAATGGCACAGGGAAAAAAGGTGTGGGTTGGGTGGTAGTTACAGGTCTATGACTAATTAGTTGTTAACTCTGCACAAGTCACTTAACCACTTGGAGTGCTAGTTTCCTTTTTTGTAGCAGTGAAGGTGAAGAATTAGGTCAATAGCTTTCCAGCTGTGCGCTGTTGAAAGTTGTGAGCTGTGGTGCAGTGTGTGAAGGTGTTCCAGTTCCAACACCCACACCAATCAGAAAAACTCTGCTTTTAGTCAATTTCCACATTGAAGGACTGAATACATTTTGATTTTTAAAATGAGTCTCATGCTTAAGAATATTTGAAAACCACTAGAGTGGGTTTCCAATATCTCCTGATAGCTTTTTGATACTATGAAAAATTATGAATTCAATATTTGAAAGACTTAATTGAAAACCCACTGTATGGAAGGCACTATGCTAAATACTGATAGATGAAGACTGTACCCAATTAGTATATAATCTAACCTATAGCCTGTAGCCATATGTTTGTAACCATAATTCAAAGAAAATGTATTCTGAAAGTTCATACCAGTACGTAAGCACAGATCTATAAAGTTCAGAGTAGGGGAAGTTCTGGGAATGTGCGTACATATATGTGTGTTTATGTGTGTGTATTTTTATATATGTAGTTACATATGAGTAGATTTAAATATAAATGTAGGACACACGAATATACATTCGTATGTAGCATATATAACAAATATACAATATTATATGTAACATATATACACACATATATATTCGTATGCGACCTGGATGTAACAAATGAGGCAAAATTGTGTTCATTAGATGCATCTAGTTAATGTGTGGAACTTTCATCTTTCCTCATATTCCACTGAATCACAATGCTTTTATGCTATTAATAATAAGATTTAACATGAGATCATAGTTCTCCAATCCCTGACATATTCAGTCACAAATAATTATTGTAAATGTCTTTGTTTTTTTCAGCAAAAATTGAAAGGATTTTTTAAATTGTTGTAATTATTTTCAAAAAGTGATATTAAAATTCTCTTCAAGGTTTCATTTAGGGAATTAAAATAAAACAAATGTGTTCTAATTTACCATATTATATCAGTCTTTGTCAAATGTAGTATTTAAATTGCTGTTATCATAATTCAGTACATAAAATTGATTTTATGTAGTGAACTTCATCTTCAGAAAAAATATTGGGTATCATTTCCACCGGACAAATACCAATGAATAATAGTTGTCTAAGTGTGTAATTTTAAATTAATAATTTGGCTAATATTTGATATTTAAATTTTTTTAGCATGACTGACTTAACAAGTTAGGTCTTTTTTTAAGTTGATGAGTGAATGGGAATCCACAAACCAACTTAATTCAGTGTAATGATGAATTCAAGAGCTGTAGGTATCACAAACCACTGAGATGTGATTTCCCTGAAACTACAACCCAAGCTTGAATTCTCAGCTCAGATAAAATGTCATTTGCGCATTTTATTCATTTTGTAAAACTTAATAACTGAAAATTCTTAAAAATATGGCATTGGCTCAAGTGGAAACATTCACTGTTCTAAAATAACTTCTGAGTATGCAAATAGATTTTCTTTAAAGGTGTCTCCCTCATGTATATGAGAGGCAATGTAGTTTAGTAGAAAAAAACACTGAACAGGAATTAGGAGACTTGATTACCAATCCCAACACACTGTAAATCAACTAGTTCTAAACAAATTAGTTGACTGGAACTCCTTAATTCACACTTCTGTAATATAGGGACAATACTTCTGACATGTACTATGATTATAACTTTATTAATAACTAACTGTGACGCTTTATAAATGATCAAGTACTACATAAATCTGACACAAAGGTAATTTTGCTTTCAAAGCCAAGAAAGGCTTTAAGCATTGCTGCTTCTAAATTGTGAGTTAATTTTTTTTTTTTGCAAAAGAGACAAGAGTTCTCTTTAAAATAATTCTTTGTTTTTGGTCCTTCCCTTCTTTGTCATACTTGGCTTCAGCCTGTGTAAGCTGAATGAGTAGGCATTTAAGAAGGTTCAACACTTTGAAATGTATGTATAATGCAATTGGACCCTACATATATATTTTCATCAAAACATTTTACAAGGATCTCAGCACTAAGTATACAGTAGATGGGACAAAAATCACAACAGGCAACTTTATTTTAGAATTTGATCCATAAATCAACAAAATAAATAAAAGGAGCTGAGTCTCTATTATGTTCATACACAAAATAAGCCAAAAAATACATCAACATTTACCATGAGATCATTTAAATGTGTTTGCAAATGATCTAATAAGGGAAACATGATTTACAACACGGGAAACTTCTTTTAACAACCATTGACTTAAATGGACTGCACTGTAGGTCACCTAGACTAGGTTAGCAAGAATGAGCAAAGTGGTAGGTCCAAAAGGCAACCTCCAAACACCTTCCTCAGATGGAAACTTTGGCAATTGTCTGTGGTTAAAAACAAAACAAAACAAACAAAAAACCCAAACCACCAATTCCTATTCTTAATCACGTTGGATGGTCATTTTGTCCATTCTTCTGCGATGAGTCCATTTTAAATACTTCAATTATTTTGAAGACACTCCAAATCCACAGAACAACAGACTCTTCCATTCTGTACATCAAAGAAACATGCGTTAGCCAGTTGAGACGCAGACTATAAATTCATTAGCAGTCTGCAATTTTTATACTCAAAACAAGCTTCTGCATTTTGAGACAAACTTCAAGAAGTTTATAAAACTTCAAGAAGTCGTATAAAAATGACTAGAAAAACTGCTAGGAAAAAAACTAGAGACAGAGTAGAAAGGAAGGAAGGATTGACAGACCCTCCAGGGTACTGCTCACTAGGATTCTGCTAGCAGTGCAATTTCACACACCACCTGCACTCAATCCCTGCTTAGGAGACCTCCCTGGGATTTCCAACTTTTCACACGACCTGTTTGCTGTACTTATTCCAAGTGAGATTCTTCCCATAAATCCTAAAAGATAGCAATTTGTCCTTTAAGAAGCTATTTGAAAGTACCCCTAACAATCTGCAGACAAGTCCAAGATGGGGTCCAGTAAGGTTTGCATAAAATCTCTCATGGTTACTATGAAGGGGATAGTGCATATTTGGGTATACAAATATTTTTAAATTCATTAAAAATTAATTTTATGTACTAATATAAATATACCTTTATAATTCCATATAATTATCAAATAAGTAACAGAGGTCTCCATGTATCTTGGTCATTTAGTTCTCTGGAGCTGAAGGTACAAATGGGACCATGGATCATTTTCTATATGAGGTCTGATAATATCCTTTTTCTGTTGGGGCTACATCTTAAGATGATACTTTCCCAGAAAAAAAAAAAAATCTACATTTATAACAGCATAAAGAGGCAAGTTGGGAAGCTTCCACTGATGCCTGAAGCTGAGCCAAGGTTTGATGGGACCAAGTAGACTCCTAGTTTTAACATGTTTGATCATGGGAATTTTAAACAGATGTTTTGGCAGATGTTTGACACTAACTAATGATTGTTCCAAATCAGCTACCACTCCAGCTCTTCATGAGCTTTGAAGGGAGAGAATGGTCAGTTTTTTAATCTTAATGACACATGAGGATGTCCATGAAAACTCCTCCAAAAAGACAGGGAAATAATCACTGTTAATGAAATGCTGTAGCAAGAGCTGCAGGTCCCCACCTTAGGCACTCTGATAATTAAACAAAACAAAACAACTTGAGAGGACTTTTTTCCCCTAACATTGACGGTTTAATAAAAGAACTTAGGAACTTTTCCAGGATGAAAGGAAGTTGACTGGTTTCCTTCCTTCCTCCTTTCCTCTTTCCCTCCCTCCTTCCCTCTTTCCCTCCCTCCTTTCCTCTTTCCCTCCCTCCCTTCCTTCTTTCTTCTTCCCTTCCTTCTTCTTTTTTCCCTTTTTATGTAATATGCAGGTCAAAAAGAGCCTAAATCGGCCATAATTCAGCCTAGAATCAATTGTCAAAATTCTGTAGTTCAAAGGCAGGAGCAATTCTTATATTTCATGCCCATTTGGAATTTGCCTTTTTACAGGTGCAGCTATGATATATTCACACACATTAAATTCCTATCAGAGGTAAATTTATGCCAGAGTTTCCACCATGTCCAGTGAACCTGTGCATTCAGAAACATCAGGAGTGGACCTCCTGCAAGTGTTTTCTGGCAATCGTTCAAGGCTTCAATGTCCGCAGAACATCCCATTACCTTGCATTTACAGGTTGTGCAGGGAGATCCAGCCATCGTCCACACTGAGCCACTAAGCCTTGAAACACCATAGCTGTCCAGGCAAGTTTTTCTGATGTCATAGGCGATGTTATCAGCTAGGCAGGGGTCACTGACACAGCGGGGACAACACTCCCCTTCTAAGATAGCTGTGTACTCACAGCTCAAGTTGGGGCAAGTGAGTGGCCAGCAATCTACCTCTCCTTCCTGTAGAGGAAAAGCAAAAAAAGTCTCATTATTGTTCCTATGCATAATTTTATTCCCAAGTCATATAAGGGGAATGAGAGCACAGTAATTCTCATCACTGAATGTTTCTAGTTGACACCATTGAGGATATAATACACTTCCTCCTTGAAGACCTACTACAGGTCTCACTTCTTTCAGAATGCTTTTGCCGACCATCTATACTGCAGTACACAGAAAGATCTAGGTGAGCTTGTTTGTGTGCCAAGCACAGCCTATAATTATTTTAACATGATACTTATAATCATATCATAATCAGTACAATTCCACATTAAGTTTTGAGCTTTCAGGCTTTGGGCTTTTTACTTGCTATCATGTTAGCACAGTTTTGGTCATTAAAGGCTAATAAATAAATTATAAGATACTGTCTAGTATATAAGGAGCAATGAGTTTCTCTTAAGGTCAAAAGCAGAACCTGAAGCACTATAATATTTCAATGAGATTTAAAGTTAAGATTGGGTAATCTCAAGAGAACCATTTCAGAATGGTTTTGAATATAACATGTGTCCACTGAACTTTCTAGATTGCAGTTCAAATGGAGCCTCTGTATGTCTCAGCATCTGGCATCTGTGGCTTCACTGAGCTGCCCACAATAAAATTATTTCACTATGCATCTTCTTCCTCTGCTATCATGAATTACGATCTATGGCATAATACCTCACAATGTATGGTAACTTGTTTAATTGTTCAGTCATCTCCATAAGACTATGGGCTTTGTGTAGGTATAGACCATGTGTATCTTGCTCACTGTTACATCATACAAAGTCTGGCACATGAAAAGTCTTGACAAATATTTATTAAGCATGACCCACATTATTCTCAAGTAATTCATAAGTTATATGTTTAACAGCTTCAGTTTTCCTGAGAAATATTCATCTTAGGGGCTGGGATGGAAGAGGATATACTTCTGAAATTCTATCTATGAAAATTTCATGCATAAAATTAATACCAATTCTTCTGGATGCCTGATGATTAGTTTCTTGGAAAAGAAATACAATTTGCTAGTCTCATAGGGAAACTAATTCTACAGTTGTATTGATTTGTTTGTCCTTTGGTGGGAGTTTTAAAAAATGACTACAATTTTTATTTATCTGAGTCTTACTTCTCAGTTGTAGGAGTGATTAAGAAAGACATATTCTGTTAAGATTATCTGTACATTCACCTGAAGACTTTAAAAAATCTGATGGAAATGTAGAGCATAATTTATCTGAATGCTTGTTTTCATATAGTACCCACAAAATGAGAATCATTCATGTCAGCAAATGTTAAACTGTGGACACCCAGCTAATAATATCCATTATGAATCAACTCAGATTGTTCCATAGTTGTGACTTCACATATGGGACATCACATTCCATGCCAATGTGTCCTAAAAGTCTTCCCATTGCTAGAAATCGTTGTGATATAATTTGAAACTGAAAGAACCAGGTCAAGAAATGAAGCCTTTTCTGTGGACTTTCTCAAATCTAATTATTCCATTAGTAGCCCTATATTAATATTTATAACAACCTTCATTTTTTTCTTTTTAAACATGTAGTATCTGAAAAGATTTTTCAAGGTAGGAAGTATTAACAATAGTCACTACCATACACTAAGTACCTTCTCTGAGCCAAGTACTGTATTTGTCCTTCTTATATATCTTGGAATCTTCATAACAGCTCATTCTTTCCCTCAGATGTACTCACATACCTGTATCCATTTGAGGAAAGAATAGTAAAATGCTAGGACTTACTCAAGGTAATCATGTTAAGCTAGCATGTGGGAGGACCAGGTTTAGATTCTAGGTCTCTGTGATTAAATCTCCGATATATCTACTATATTTTGTTACCTCTTATATTGAAATCTTTAAGGGTTATGGCACAGAAATGAAAGATTTAGCTCTGTTGGGACTACAAGTAACTAGTCAAGGTTTTGAAAGCTTCCTTTCTTGCAGAGATTTTTCTTGATCTTGATTTCTTATTAGTAATAGCTGTAAACTGTCATTGTTTGGGTCAAATCTGTCCCATAAATATGTGCTTTTTACTTTGTACAGTGTTTCAAATACAACCTGAATATCTTTAGTCAGAGAACATGACCCTTAGCCACTGGCCCCCCAGAGCTCTCTGTATAGTATTATGAAAAAAGGGGAACTAGGTCCCACAGACAACTGAATTTGTAACCTCTTTCAGCGTAAAGGCTCAACGCCCTATAGGAAGCCAACATACCAGACACCGACATTGCTGACAGCTATGGGTCCAATTGTCTCCACTTCGATACAGCTTGTGACCATTTTGGTCTAAACATTGACTTGTGACCCTGGTGTCACATTCTGGGCAACAGAAAAGGTCAGCACTTGGATTCTGGCAATCACAGGCCGTCCGTCGGCAGAATATCTTGCCATCCTGTTTAGAAATGAAGTTAAGGAGATTTCATCATTTAGGACATAATGGGCAGCTACACTATGAGAACTGAACTTCTTGGATTCTTAGTCATCCCCTGGCCACCTCTCATTCGGTTCAAAACTGAAGCACGCATGTGTGTTCACACAAACACACCCTTTCTTTCCCTGATTTTGCTTGCAGAGCAGAAAAAATAAAAATAGGAACATTTCTAAGTTTAACAAAAAGTAAACATGTTTTTTGAAAATCTTTTTCAAAAGGGTTCTTAAAAATCATATTTCTAAGAAATATAATCAGCTAAAAATGCATATATGATCAATAAGTCATTTGAGTGGAAAATCATGCTCCTATATTTCCATGATACCACTTAACATGTTCAAATACATTCATCTAACTATATCCCTGTCCCAACTGTGAAAGGAAGTCTAATTATGCCCTTTATACAGAAGAATTAACTTAAACCCAGAGAGGCTAAACCAGTTATCCAAGACGGCATAGGTAGGTAGTGATTCTCCAAGCAGCACCACCAACTGTTATGGTCTCAAAATCTTCTTCGGCAAGACCGCCTTAAAGTTGTGTACTACAGGGGGGTATAATCAGGTGCCTCTTTCCACCTTATGGCAGTTCTCCATATTGTAAGCACAGTACAACTTTTGAAGTATTGGCTCTGAGGACTCATAGTTATAAAAAATTGAAAGTCAGCAGCACTTCAGCAGTAAGATTAAACATTTTGCAATGTGTCTTTTTTAATACATCTGTTGCTTACAGTAATTTCTTAATGTTCTTCATTGCTGAAAATTTAAGGTAAGACCTGTCATCACCATTCATGGTTAAAACGAATTTGTTGAGTATTTTAAAAAATCAAAGAGTCTCAGGGCTGGAAGGTACCTTAAAGAACATATAACTAAGCCTCCTGACCTACAGCTGAATCCTCTTTACAGCAGCCATATTCAAAAGTGTTCAAGTCTGTGCTTGAGGCTCTCCAGTCTTGAATTCACCACTATGGAGAGACTTTGGTGTGCATCTCTGTACATGTTATAATGTAAAAAATCAGACTTTTCATTACTTCTATCCATTGATCTGAATCCATACTTTCGGTAATAATAGAACTCCAAACACTTTGTCATATTTCAATTCTTCAGTTTTTAGAAGACAGCTCTTATGTATTCACTGAGATGTTTCACTTCTGGGTAAACACCTCTAATTTCTTGACCAGTCCCCATCATTTATAATCCTTTCACTGTCATAGTTGCCTTCTCTTTCAACAGTTTTAAGTATGTATCATCATCATCATCATCATCATCATATTCTACCATACATTTAATACTTATCTTGTGTTATATATTGTGCAGAGGCATTTACATGCATGATCACATTTAATCCTGATATTTTGTGGAATATGAATGTATATCTCTATTTCTCAAATGAGGTAGCTGAGAGACAACTAAATAGAATTATTCAGCAACGGTCTTTGAAGAAAGAGTGAATTGAGTTTCGTGCTCACCTTTTTTTAAGAGTTGTACTTTCTTTAATGCAGGCTTTTTTCAATAAAGTCATGTGCTACACAATGAAATTTTGGTCGCTGACATACTACACATACAAAGGTGATTCTATAGAATTTTAATGAAGCTGAAAAATTCCTGTCACCTAGTGACATCGCAGCCATAGTATAATGCAGTGCATTACTCACGCACGTGTTTGTAATGATGCCTTTGTAAACAAGCCTACTGAGCTGCCAGTTGTATAAAAATATATCACCTACAGTCATTTACAGTACATACTGCTTGATAATGATAAATGGCTAGGTTACTGGTTTATGTATTTGGTATACCATCTTTTTCAATCATTATTTTAGAATGTATTCTTTCTACTTATAAAAAAAGAGATAACTAAAACAGCCTCAGGCAAGTCCTCAGGAGGTATTCCAGAAGAAGGCATTGTTATCATAAGAGATGACAGCTCTGTGGGTATTACTGTCCCTGGAGACCTCCCAGTGGGATAACACATGGAGGAAAATATGGAGGTGAAAGACAGTGATATTGATAATCCTGACCCTGTGGAGACCTAGGTTAAGATGTGTTTTTGTGTCCTAGTTTGAAAAAAATGTTTAATACGTGTTTTAAAAAATTAAAAATAGAAAAAGATTATGGAATAATATAAAGAAAATATTTTGTACAACTGTACAATGTGTTTGTGTTTTAAACTAAGTGTTATTAGACAAGTGTCAAAAGTTACAAAAATTAAAAAGTTTATAAAGTAAAAAAGTTACAATAAGCTAAGGTTAATTTATTGAAGAAAAACATTTGGTGTAGCCTAAGTATACAAGGTTCATAAAGTCTACAGAAGTGCACAGTAATATCCTAGGCCTTCACATGCACCCAACATTCACTCACTGACTCACCTACTGCAACTTCTAGTCCCATAAACTCCAATCATGGTACATGTTCCATACAGGTATACCATTTTTCGTCTTTTATATGTATTTTTACTGTACCTTTTCTATGTTTAGACATACAAATACCACAGTGTTACAGTTGCCTACAATATTAAGTATAGTATCATGCTGTCTAGGTTTATAGCCTAGAAGCAATAGACTATACCAAATAGCCTAGGTGTGTAGTAAACTATTCCATCTAGGTTTGTTTAAATATACTCTATGATGTTGACACAGTGAGGAAAAAGCCTAATGACTTGTTTCTTAGAATGTATCCCTGTCATTAAGTGATGCATGACTGTATTTACTTTCTTTGAATGAACCATAATGTTGGCCAATATTGAGCTTAATGAAGACTAAAACCTCATTAAGCCCTATCTCATCTTGTGCAGTTGGCTGTTTAGGGGCAGCAACTATACAACTTGATGTTTATCTCTGTTGCATTTCATATTGTTAGATCCATTTCATCTCTCCTTCCTGTCATAATGTTTTGCAAATGCTATTTCTGTCATCTACTATAGCTCACCCTCCTTCACAGCTTAGTGACATCTGAAAACTTGATGGACTTGCCCTCAGGGTCTTTATCTACTTTATCCATAACAACGCTGAATAATCAGACAGAGCTTGCTGAGATATTTAGTGTCAGCTAAAGTGGAAACCTTAAAAGCTTTATATTCTTTAAGGAGAATTGAAAGGAGACATGCCAGCTACATATGTAACAACAGGTTGA